AGGACGCGCAAAGCGCACTTGCTAGACCAATAAGTGATGTTGCCACATTCGGCACATGCTTGTACCCTCAATGTGCAAAATAATGTTGCAGGACTCGGTGAGCTTTGAAACGAAATGGCCAGGAATTAGTTATAGTGGATTGCTTTTCTTACTTAAGTAGCCGCGTGACCAATGACGGTAGCGCAGCAAAGGAGACAACCGACCGCATTTCCACGGCTCGAGCAACATACGTAGGATTGATTGATTGGCGTAGACGCGACGTTTCACCAAAGTTGAAAGGTCGTGTATATTGTGCTACCGTTCGTTCAACTCTGCGTTACGATTGTGAGACTTTGAATTTGCGAGTAGAAGATATCCATCGAATAGAAGTTTTCGGTTATAGGAGTTTACGTAGTTTGGATCTCGTGGGATGGAGCGAACGTGTGGCGCAGTGGTTTAGTCGCTGTCACCGGCCTGCTTTGGGCCCTATGGTCCGAGGTTCGAGCCCCGCCATCGCCGTCCAACTTTGGTGGTAGACAACTTTGCTGTCGCCCGGTTCTACACCACGCCTGAGCTAGTGGGGCCTTATGTAGTTCGCCACTCCAAGTGTCGGGGCTAAGGTTGCTAGTTGCCATCAATAAACAGCAGGTCTTCCTAACTATGGGGCTTTCCCCGTCAGCTATTCATCACACACTGTTGTGTGATAAATAGATAAATAATAATCCGGAGGTAAGCCATCGTGTATCTGAGAACCCATCAGGGACAAACGTGCTAGCTCAGCGAATTCAGGTTAGAAGGCCTCGTTGGCTAGAACGCGTATTGCGTATGCCCAAATGTTTTCTGCCGTACCACGCTTGATTCGCTGTAGCCGCTCCGGGCTGGAGGAAAACACGTGGAGTTCAACAGATGATGTGAAGACGAGGCATGAAGAAACGCCTAGAAAAGCTATCTGGCGCCCTCGAGGTTGGGGTCCGAAAGACTCCCTAAATGGCTGGGTGGAGACATTGGATGATATGGCAGCGAACCGACAGCAGTGGCATTCTTGTTGTCATTTCTTATCAGTCCAGAATGGTTGCAATGGTACGTATGCAGAGTTCGTTTGTCCACCATAGAAGTTCACTTTCTTCCCCATTCCTCAAAATAGGTCTAATTCCTGTTCATCCTAAATATTACCACTAATATTGCATGTATTGCGGATTTTGCAGCGATCAGTGAAGTTCGCTTCACTGTATTTCACTATACAATAATGATAGCGGCACTTGCGAAACTGCTGCAGCATACACTTAACCCTTCACGGACTGCTGAGTGTCGCGACGGTGCCACAGATGTTTGAAGTTGACAAAAGCCCACCGACCTTCCTTATTCGTGCCGAAACATCATTTCTGACGCATCCACCATGTGAAATATAGCTTCCCAGATAACCAACTTCGTCTTCTTCCTCCATTACTTCCCCAGTCAAGTCGAATTTGGGGCTGAACCAACTCAACCAGCATTTTAGGTTCAAAACGCATACCGAACATGACTACGCTAGCAATCAATCAAACCAGAAAAGCTTGCAACTTGGTTCTTCACTTAGTGGCACAATGTCGACTGCATACACCAGATCAGACAGTCTTCCACCTGGGAGCAAACGGTACCGCTCTCCTCGAAGGAGGATAAGAATGTTTCAGGAACTACGTATATCACAAAGATAAATAGAAACGGAGAGAGAGGATAACCCTGACGAACACCACTTTCTGTTGTGGGCTCGGGCGAAATGGTGGCTTAAGGTCGGACTCCGCTTTGGCCCTCAGTCTGAAGGGATTATAGTAATGAAATGAACTTCTCGGGCACACCCTTCGGAGAGGGGCAGCACCAGATTATAAAGCGGTCGGCTGATTCATTGGGTCCGTACTCCTTGTGAAACGAAAATGATTGCGACTATTACCGATAGCAGCAGCCTTCTCCATCTCTCTACATTTTTCTATCCACAAATTCTCGTGGTCAATCCTCAGGCTCTTGATGAGCTGGCGTTCTAGGGATTTGCGCGTTTTGTCGTATGTAGTATCAGAAGGAATGACTTTGCCAGCGGCCAGCAGGGCAGCCGAGGTCGAGGGGATCCATCGTTTTTGCTTTGATCCTGCGCCAGAAGCCGTCATTGTTTTGACTGACACTTAGATCGCTTCCATGATTACCGTCCAGTGTTCACTGAGTCCTTCGGCTGATGGTCGTTCTGAAAGGCGATCAGAGAGTTCCCCTTCGAAGACCGATTTGCAATTATCGCTGATATAATATTGCGAGTATCCGTTTCCGGGGACTTTTCTGTGCTGTTTACCAGACGTAGAGATAATCTGGCTCGTAGTAGAGCAAGGTCTGTTTCCACAGGTGTTAACCAGTAGGAGTAGTAGTCTTCAATGGATCCTCGCCAGCGGTGGCTAATGACGATGTGATCGATTTGAGTCGATCGCTGTGAAGGGGTTGGCGGTTACTATGCAATGCGGAATCCTGCCTTGTGCGAAAAGTTGATGCTTGACACGAACGGTTCGTCGTCCGCGCAGATTTGAAGTAGACGATCTCCGTTTTCCGTCCGGTTAGCTGGAATCGCATGTAGTCCGCCGAGAACCTTTTCTAATTCTTCAGGGATCCGACTTGAGCATTGAAGTCGCCAGCAACTGCCACAAATTCCATTGACGGAGCACTTTGGAGCAGTTGAGAGGTCCTTCTAGAATTCATCCTCCATCTCTGGGCAACCGCAATCGGTGCATACACAGATGCGACGAATAAGCATTGGCGCTTAGCTGTAGGTGTTGACCCGTATTGAACCATCCACATATACAGTGCAAGGTCGGCTAATAACCAGGACCCAGTTGAGAAGTGATCTCTCGGCCTTGACACTTAACGTTATCCCGACACCATTAACACCGCAAGCTTCGCCAACACACGAAGAGTTAAACGTGAAGATAGGGTTGAGTCAGGAGAACACAGAAAGATGAAGGATCTTGTATGCTTGTTTCGGAGACAGCATACATCTAAATCCAAAGTTTCAAGAGTTCTAACTAAGGTGGTTTGTGGACCAATCTGATAGAGTGTATGTACATTGGATGCGGGGCTCATGGAAAAGTTTTAGTTTCAGTTTGTACAACCATTAACCATGCACTTTTGTGGGCCGGTTTTGGTTGCTCTTCTGACTGCCCATTTGGATGAAGAATACGAGAAGACAGGAAAGTTGAAAGTGGAGTCGAACAGAAAATAGTGAAATTTTGGTTTCAAACATCTTACAGCGTCTGATTGTTTGACCTTAATAGCTGGACACTGAGTGATATCCTATGGGTGGCACAAGCATAAAGTATTTCCTGAGATTTGGGAGTAAATGGGACAACTGGACAAATGGGACAGAGGTTTCTCCAACTGGATTTTTAAGACCCTGGGACGAGTGTGGATAGATAGTGGAAGTCTGGAGGTGTCCAAACAGCTGGCCTTGTGAGACCGAGCTTCGCCTGAATTCTACTCAATGACGATTCGGGCACGATTGGATCTCCGGCTATGGGTCATCCTATATAGCTCGCAGACCCATCGAGGCACGCAAGCCATCATATCAAGTCAAGGTGCAGTCCCGTCAAAGGACTGTTCCTACGCTACCAATCAGTGTCGTGCGTTCATCGAACCGATCGGTAGACGAAACGTGCTCACTGTTATCCCCTTTCCTATGGCTAGTTCAATCATCAGATGCTTCTTTCGCAAGAACAGATAAGCGGTCCCGGTAACCCGACTGCGCGTTCTAATCTTTTCGATTAGATCACAAGACCACGATAAGTAAACCTATTGTGATTGTACTTTCCCTAGTAGTCGAACCCAGCACTGTTAAAATCGTGGTGGGAACTGAGCAACATTGGTCGCTTTATTCATGGTAACATGCAGGATTCTTTCTATCTCTCAATATAATATCTATTCTACAATAAGTAGTATATATGAGGCATAAATGAGGCCTTTAGTTTGTACACGGAGTTGATCAACTTATCCCAAACGAAATCCATTCATCGACAATGATCCCCTCCGGGGTTCACAAACTTATGTTTCATAACCTATTTGATGTAATGACAACAGTTATTCATTCATTTCTACCATCAAACCCAGTGAGCAGTTCACGCTGTTTCTTTTAGACCTCTGGTAACGCTCTTCATGATCCGGAGTTAGGTCCGACTGATTGTATCAAATCCTCTGAATCGGTGGTATCCATTGATGAGACAGAGACTGAACCTTCAAAGAAATCTGAATTCGCAAAAGGAAGGCCCAAGAACAGCCCATTGATACCGTCCGTATCAGATTGCAACTTTACCCAAAGGGGAAACGATGACTCTAATGACGAGGATCTGATCATGCCCAAGCGTGATAAAGAAGAGGGGGAACTATCGTCTGGTGAGGATGATGAAGACGGCGACGACGATGACACGTTTTCCATAGGCACCACTGGTCATTCTCGGAAACGTGGACGTTTCGAGCCATCTTCCAGCCCCCTTCCGAGATCAGTTCCTCCTGTGGTCCAAGATCCGCTCGAATCGAATCCAAATCCTCGTGTCTGTCTCACCGCAGAAGCTGGTAAGCCAGTGACGTAAAACACCTCGTTACCGATTTCATCCCGTGCGTGTTTTCAGTTTCATATGCGTCTANACTCAGCAGACATGCGCTGTCCGCTTAAGTACTAATTCTGACTCAGCTCCAGAGAAGATTTCCTATCTTAAGCTGTTTCTTGTCACTTAATCTTACTCCGAATCATCATATAAGAAGTGGTAAAATAAATCTACTGATTGTGTTGTTAGGACCGAAATTCTGTGAGTAAGCTGTGATTTTTACTGTTATTGTCTTATTTCATTTAATCTTTATCTCTCGATCCTTCTCTATCGTAATTTTTTTTACAGGTGTTGGTTCGGGAGTTTCGGGAAAATCGGTGCCCCCACCAACAACTGAAAGTGTCACACCGGCTCCCACCATTGTTGTCAGTGGTAGTAGACGTCGACGCCGTAAACGTGTCCCAGCCGCTTGTCCCCGAGTTGCACTATCCGGACATTCGTTTTCTCAAGAAGCCTCTGGGGCGTGTGTCACCCCATCTGGAGATGTTCAGCTGAATGCTATCAATGAATTAAGTGGTGTAAAGACACAAGTAGGCAAATTCATTGCTTTATTTCTTTCCAAGCCTCGCTCAACTATCGCACTCATTTTCACCTAAATTCTGACCAGCGCCCTCCCCCGCGCTAATTCTTATGTGTGGCATTAACTTTGCTCTTACCCAACAGAATTCTAATATATTCACTCACTGGAAGCGAGAATGCACTGGATCGCATTCTCCGTTTCCTATGCCAATAATTATGTATTTATTTTTCAATTTCCGTATTGTCAAAGTTATCAATACTGAAAAGTTTGTATTTTTTAACATAGTGTCAGTGGCCGAGGTGGTGATTTGTATCTGATTCGCTTTCTTGCAACCATTGGATCGTCAACTATTGCTTTGAGATTGAAACTGTCCCGACGATTTATCGCATTTTTTGTTGCTGTTTATCTCAAGTAACCAGTTAAATCGCGAAACATTTATCATAGTCATGAAGCTCAGCTGTTATTCAGCACTGTTGGTCTAAGCGTGATCTTAGTATCTTCTCGACGGTATATTCGAGCGTGACGATTGTTTCGGACTCCTTGTGTGTCACTCAGGTGTATTGTTATAACACACGATTGTATGATGAACAGTAAACAGGTCGTCACTGCCGTTAACGGACACCATTCCCCACTCACGGTTCCTGGTCTTTGGTATCTGATTCTCCTTCCACACTAAGTATAGTTCAGAGGTATTTGCCTTTTCCCGGTGAACTGAAATAGTGTACAATAAACTGTCCACTTAGAGCTGTCGCATTCAGTGACAAATAAACCTCAAAAGTTTTCGCTATCTACGCTCAGTTGATCATTTAAATGTTGTCTTTTGACCCGAAATTCCGAGATTTTTACATCCACCGTAAGTATCTCTGTGCGTTTGTCTCACGTGTAACGCTGAGATCTGTAGTTAATTTTTCACGCTTCGCTTTTCTTTTTCCCTCTCTTTGTCAGGTGTTTGCTGTAAAAGATAAGGAGGTCGAATCACTTCTATCTATCGAGGAAATTCGTGCTTATTGTTCCCGCTTGTTCGAAATCCAAGTTGAATATGTGCCCAACAAAAGGTCAGCTGCCGTCATTCTTGTTAAACTCATTTCTCAATTTGTGACCTTCAAACGGCACTTTTGGTCATTGTATGACTCCTCCTTACCAAGCATGAATGAAGCTTTGAATATAAACATATATTTGAAACAGTTTCGTAAACATTCTAGAGTATCAAGCTTGGATTAGCCCATTCGATTGCTCAGAGGCACCAGGCACTTCCGTAAACATATTCATTTCCTTGGGTGCCTTGGAAAACCGTACCATAAACGAGAACACGTTTACTGAAACTGAAGTAGATATATTGGCACAACGGTCACTGACGAAGCGGTAAACGGGGAAATGATGTAGTGTGGTGTTATAGGCAAAATCTTCAATCGGATTATATCTCGACAAGTTTGGTCGTTAATAAAAGCAAGGAAATGGGTGTATGAGAGTGTGGAGCTATGAGGCGGGCGAGTGCTTATAGGAAGGAAGTGGGTGATCGTTCTGTCTATTTGGATGAGGGTAATTCGTGTACTGAAGAAATGCGACCACACAAATACCACCGGTAACCGAAACATTGGCCGTTCCACTGGTAAACTTTGCTACTAAAAGGGATCGTTTAGACTAAAGGTAGGTGGTGTCCGAGTTGTGGGTTCGAAGCTTTGCTAATGGTGTACTGATTCAGCTTTACACTTCAAACTTCGAATATTCGAGTGAAATGCGTGAACGGACTTGGTCTGTTGGACACTGAGAGTGGGTATAGTTGTACTTACCCTGATGGACAAGAGCAATGTGAGAACACACATTTAGAGATGAAGAATTCTTTTTATTGATTCTTCTTCTGGCCTTCTGGCATTTGGAACGGGGATAGTCATTCAGTCATTCAAAAGTCACGGTGATTGATTGAAAGTGGGGTGGGTGGTGCAATAACCTCTTCAAGGAGCCTGATGTGATGAACTTGTCAGCTCCTCTTTTTATACTGCGAAATACCCTGGACATTTAAGCACCGAGGTTGCACAGACAAGAGTAATGGTATTCCCGTGTGTGTGTGTGTGTCTACACGAGTAAGTTTTTCACTTTTACCCTGTTGAAGGGAATTGTGAAGTGGTTTGTTAGTACAGCGTACGGTTTGTCTTGCAAACACGAAAATATTCTGTTGTGTGAGCAAAACTTGTTGGGTAACAGTGACAACGCGAATTCAACGAATTGGAACAGGCAAACACAAGCCAACTATCCACTTGATCACTGGATATGTGATCATTTCTTCGACAATATCAATAGAAACTGCATACTCATGTTATTATTCTTCTAACCGGCAGCTCCATACGATTCGTCATTTACTTCTGTGATGACGACCAAAGCTTCAGTGAAATAATTTGCGAATTTCTCTGTTTTCTCCTCAAACTTACAGGTCCTCTTTCACTGTGCTATCCAAGATATTTGTTTTATTTTGTTTCCATGGCATGCCTCGTCCGCTCCTCACTGTCGATCTTTATTTTTACTAGGTCTCACAGAGAAGACGGTTCAGTCACGGCCATCGCCGAACCCAAGGCTTCACAAAATCGTGTCCTTATGATGGTAAGGTTGGAGGCATATTTCATATAATGTGTTTTTGTGGCTTTTCATCCAGTGCCCACCAGTCCTGTTAATTTACCGTTGTCTTCCTGAAGGTTAAAGTTTCATGCAATTGAGTGGAAACCAAGGTTATAAAATAGAATGACTCAGAGGTTTTGGCTACTTGCAACCTGTTTCCGGTGATGAATTCACGATTTGTTGTCCACTTTATCTGTTCGGTATAATCGCACGTATTTGATTTATTCGTGAAAGTCCTGAGTCACGAGGAAGAAACAAAGGTCGACGAGAAATGTGATATCAATATTATAATTAGTACCTT